AACTTGAAGGGTGAAGAGAGTGGCCCTCAATTACTGCAGAGAGCAAGCAGCAGAGGCCACAAATTCCAATTTTTCCACAAATTTCCTATACAGCCCAGTAAGGAACCTGCCCTCTAAGCACTGTCTGTCTCAGTCTGTTGGCAAAAATCAGCTACTGTAAATGGGAGTGTTCATTGGGGATAGATCAGGGCTGACAAGGTAACATTTAGAGTAGCCCCGTGAGGTTTGGAATCCAACATCTGGAGGACTGCCGGTTAGCTGCCCAATTGACACCAAGTTCTAGCTTGCTGAGAGAAGAGTCATACTAACAACTGTGATCCAGGTTCATCCATTTTAAATCCAGCAGTGTCAAATACAATGTAGGTTTCCTATTGTGCTTCCTCTACAAATCCAACCTATGTGTAAGCACAATTAGAAACCCGGAACACTGACTGTAATGGAATGTACTTTATACAAGAATTTAGAATCAGGATAGTTCAGTACAGCCTCTCTTACAATATGTACATGTTCTTAAGAATGACACCTGCTAATAGTTTCATCTAATTGAAGGAAGAAAGTTTTAGTGTTCCTTAAGTCATTGATAGGGACGCAGCTGGCGCTGTGGGTAAAAGCCTCAGCGCCTAGGACTTGCCGACTGAAAGGTCGGTGGTTCGAATCCCCACAGCGGGGTGCGCTCCCGTCGCTCGGTCCCAGTGCCTGCCAACCTAGCAGTTCGAAAGCACCCCTGGGTGCAAGTAGATAAATAGGGACCGCTTACTAGCGGGAAGGTAAACAGCGTTCCGTGTGCTGCGCTGGCTCGCCAGAACAGCTTTGTCACGCTGGCCACGTGACCCGGAAGTGTCTGCGGACAGCGCTGGCTCCCGGCCTATAGAGTGAGATGAGCGCACAACCCTAGAGTCTGTCAAGACTGGCCCGTACGGGCAGGGGTACCTTTACCTTAAGTCATTGATGCATCTTAAATTTGGATTCATTGTTCCTCTTAAGAAGCTAGCAGCACTGGCTAGAGTGGATATTCTACTATTACTACCTGAAGATCATTCCAGCAATGCACAATCTAAATCTTACTTGCCACACCACAATTAAGCAGCAAAATAAATTTGACTGACATAACACTTGCCTTGCACCATGCTGCACAGGAGTATCTGTCAATGCAAAAGTATCTGTCACTGCAGCACAAATACTGGAAAATGATGTTAAACACAAGCATACTAAAAGTGATTGAGAACATGAGTCATAAACTATTTAAAGTCAAGTTTTCAACGCAGATTGCAGCACAATTCCTTGTCAAATTCTTGTGGCTCACAAAGGTATTGACCTCCAACTTAACTCCAATCATAAAAAACCTTGATGCTGTTAATAAGAGAAACACCAAAGCAAATTTTTATCTAGTTTCATTTCTATTGCAACTTTTGCTGTACACTAGGCCTCATTTGATCAGTATTAAAGGCAGACAGAAAGTTTCAGTATAAGATGATTTCAAACATTAGTCCTTTATTTTTGTACTATTTCACCCAAAAGATGGGTTCTCCCCAACAACCAACCACTCAGCCCAACAACAACTCAGAGCAGATACAAAATCCAACAGCATCTACAATATATGTATTGTGGCTCTATCCCACATATCACAATCCAAAGAGTGTTTTCAATTTAAGATGTCTCGATTCTGGCTATCCACCAAAAGTAAGGTCAAAAGTAACAACATAAAGAAAAAACTGTTTACATGCTAGAATTCAGATCCACTGTAGGGGTAGAAACATTCTGTATTCTGTATTGTCACTGTGTTGCTTTGCTTTTCTTATTTTTGCTTTTCTTGTCTTTTTTCTTTAAACCGTCCATGTTAGCTCTGAGCAAATTTGAATAAGCCTGCAACCAAAATAATCAAAACATTTCAGAGAATGCATTCAAATTCCATAGAAGGATTACAAACAGTGGCAATTCATTTGCAGAATTAAAATATTGTCGTTAGAAGTGCCCATCTTTCTCAGAGTGCCGCACTTCATTTATTGATTTTGTAATTTGAAGTTAATCCATAAAATGTTCTGAAATGGAAATGAATCCGGTATACACTTACCATCTGGAATTTGTTGACTTCCTTTGAACTCACCTATAAAAAAATTAGTCATATGTTATTTTAAAAATTACAAGATAAAATGTCAACAACCTCTTCAAGAACTGGTCCCTGTGACCACCGCTTTCAGCTGAATAAATCAAATTATAGTCTAATAAGGGTTAGAGCAGCTTTGTGGTTTAAGGCCATGAATTGAGTTTTGGGGAAACGGGGACAATTGCTTCTCAAAGAGTTTCAGGTAGCAACTTGAAAGGTTATGGAGTTGAAAAAGACTTCCCAAATGAATTTTTAAAGCAAGTCTCAAATTTTAAACTGCCATTGGCTAAATTCTCTCTTTTTGATGATTATATATGCAGTGCCTTGGAAAAAATTGCACTAATCAATGTTGCAAGCAAATGGCATTCCTATTTATTGTGTTTTGCTGCTGTTCTTTTGTTTCCAGGTAACCTAGCAACAAAGGACTCTACCAACTGCTAATTTTGTAACTCTCCTTGCCAATGGAATTAAGATCTTTAGGAACTGCACTTTAATCCTTATGACAGTGGAAACATATAGTCTCAAGGATGAACATACTGAATCTACATATAAACACTTAAAATAAGGTTGATTAAACAAAATTAATTTGTGACAATTAGCAAGTAATTTCTTGCCAACACTAAAAAGAAATTTCCATTTATCTTCAATCATGTTAGGACCCAACTGAGTGAATCCTACCTAATACCTACCACTGTGCTTATCTTTTTCTTCCCATCTGTTGCTCTAAGAAGACATTTGTTGTCTACAGGTTCAAAGCCCTCAATATGGCCCTTTCGTGGGATGGGTCTTGTCCGACCATCATCTATATTAAACAGAAGCATTAAACATATATACATATACAACATCCAACGGTGGCGAAAGAACGCTGAAATGCAGGTTTGTACTTTTACAGCTTTGAAGTTTGTGTCGAAGATTAGGAGAATTCTGAATGTGGAAGCTGAGAAACAATAGCGTTGCTATGTTTAAATTGGACACAAACGTGTTTGTGGTTTTTTAAAGTGTATAATGGCAACGGTTAGATGCAAACAAATAGTCATCTCATCCCCCAATCCCACTAAGAATGCCTCAAATATCTGGCTTAAAAGCAAACCCTGGGGAATAAGGGAAGGCATGGCCAATCTAGCCTAGTTTTTAATGATTCAGGCATGGAGTGGAGGGTAGGAATCAGCTCAAAAGTGGCAGCATCAGACTGCTCAGAAAGATCACTACTGCCACATTAATTCTTCCAACGACTCCACAGCAACCCCTTAGTTCTTTCTTGGGTACCTCCCCCCCCCAATTTGGTTGCTCAGACCAGAATGTTGGTTTTTTCCCTAAAAGCCTTTAAAGATTTTATTTGGCTTGGCTTTGGGGCTCCAATGTGCAAACAGCTGCAAGATGAGGTTTAGTATTTACTGTGCTAAAAGAGGATCTCATCAATTTTATACCCCCATTCAATCTACTGTTCTCTGCTCCTAACTCTGGGATGGAGCAGGCAATAGAGTAAAAGTGTGGTTGCTTCTTTCTAGACTTGGCTGGCAGAGACCAGCGCTTAGGGTGGGAGCTCTACTGTAGTGGATGCCCAAACTACAGGGCACTTCTGCAGGCACTTTTCCTGTTGAGGGCATTCTACAAAAGCTCAGAACAGGTTGTTTTGGATAGCGCACTGGAGACTTTGAATCTATGTTAGGGACCTGATCAGCTGTGCCACCTGCTCCCTCCCTTCTGAGTTGGCAGGACCTAGGATGTGACAGTGTACTCACTGCTCTGGACCTCCCAGTCCCTCATTTAGAATTTCCTCAATCTAGCAAAAATGAAGCATGTATTAAAGAAGCTGAGAGCTACAGATAAGGGTTTTCTTGCTAACCACACATTTTTCAGTTCTCATACATGCCCATTTCAGCATTACTTCATTTATGCTAACAACTGCAGTACAAACTGGCTCACGACGCTTTTTTTTTTAAGGGGCGATATTGAAAAACGAAGTACTGGGCAAATATGCAGGCATATCCACCATTCACAACTGCTGAAATAGTTAACATAATACTTACATTTCTTTAGCGTTATATAGACGCTGCCTGTGCTCCTACATTTTTGAAACAATCTTGTAAGCTCTGTCAGAAACTGCAAACGAGAAACCCGTTTTCTGATTAAGAACAATCGCGGATGAATGAGGTTTATGGAATTCTTAACACAGTCAAGAGCTGGGAAACAACCCTTGTTTTATTTTCCCCCCCCTTATTGCAGTTTCCAGTGACGCCATCCGATTGCAATGCTTGCATTTTCGGGTCTCTATTCCCACCTTCACAAAGCAGCAATTTATCAGGGCTGATAAATCCCTCCCTCCCCCACCCCCACCCCCAAAAACCCCCCCAGCCCCCAAAACGTGGCAATCCTGGCTGGTCTTCGTTTAAGAAACCAGGGGCGATACGCCTGAAAAAAATGAATGGATCTTGGTTTAACTATGCGAGGGTAAGGCAACTCGGGGGTTCATTAAAGCGAGCCAGGATCTCCGCACCGGAATCCTCACGGGAGGCACCGCCACGTTCAGGAACTGCCACGCCGCCCCCCGCCCCCCATGAGGCGGCCAAGCACAGAAAGCGGGTGGGTGGACCCGGCCCGGCTCTGCCTACCCGGCCCCCAACTCAAGGGACCCAGGAAAACGCGAGGCCGCGGCACCTGCTCGCTCTCCAGCAGCACCATAGCCGGCTCCTTTGCTCGCTCGCTCGGCGCCTGCAAGAGCCCCGTCACAATTCCGCGGAGCGAAGGAGCGGCCCGGAAACGGAAGTGCTTCTCGCCGCCACGGAGGACGCAGCGCTCCGTGCGGCTAGAGGGGAAACCCCGCCCCCGATCTGGCTCGCTGCTGCCCCCGCTCGGCTGCAAGCGGTACTGCTCCGCCGTCCCCTGGGGTTTCAAACGCGAACCTGTCATTTATAGGCTCGTTAAGGGAGGGTGAGGGCCGGATTTAGGTTTGATGAGGCCGTAAGTAAGCTACTGAAGGTAATGGGGCCCTTTATATGTCCAGCTGTCCTTTGTCAACAACAGATTGCCGCTGTTTTTTTATGTTGAATATAATATGGTAATTTATGGACCTAATAGGTATCTAAAGCCATTTGCCGCTGTTGCTGTATGTAGGTTTTATTTTATTTGTTTTTTATCTTATGCTTTGGAAATGTACATCCACCTTTTTTTTCCTTTAAATTTTTTGGGGGCTCCCAAGAGAGTGGGCCCTAGGCTATAGCTTGTTTAGCTTATACAGTGGTGCCCCGCAAGACGAATGCCTTGCAAGACGAAAAACCCGCTAGACGAAAGGGTTTTCCATTTTTGAGTTGCTTCGCAAGACGATTTTCCCTATGGGCTTGCTTCGCAAGACGAAAACGTCTTGCGAGTCTTGCGATTTTTTTTCGCTCTCCCCCCCTTTTTTCTAAGCCGCTAAGCCGCTAATAGCCGCTAAGCCGCTAAGCCTTTAATAGCCGCTAAGCCGCTAAACCGCTAATAGCGCTAAGCCGCTAATAGGGTTGCTTCGCAAGACGAAAAAACCGCTAGACGAAGAGACTCGCGGAACAGATTATTTTCGTCTTGCGAGGCACCACTGTACATAAATCCGGCACTGAGAAAGTGCAGCATCTTCTCCAAAGGCATCTCTGGATATTAGACGGATGTTCAAGCGCATTCCTTTGGTTTCAAAAAACTCAGTATGAGAAGCATAATGTTTTCTAGGTCTGTCCTTCGAAATGCTGGACTTTCTTGGAAGGTTTTCCAGCCATTCCCTCCCCTTGTCGAAGGAAATGGACGGATACACCTGATGGCTGCACATTCGGCAGAATGTCTTATTTAATTTATTATTATTATTTATGTGTTTTTTTCTATTGTTATGTTGTGAACAACGGGTATAGGGCGGTATACAAATAAAATAAATACCCCATATCTTGGAATTGCCTAAGATTTCAAAAAGTGAAAACCCGGACACAAAAGTTGCTGAATAGCAAAGTTCAAAAAAAATTAATAATGGACATTTCAGGGATTTTCATCCAGACACTGTTGTATTCTGGCTGTGTCTGGGAAATTTTCAGCTATGGGCTTGGCTTGCAAAAGCTGTTTTAATTTTTCTAAAACATCATGAGAACTCAAGAAACTCCTTTCTGACTGACCTTTGTATCAAAATCTGCTCACATTTTGCTGTCAAAAGCAGTAGGAGGCACTGTGACCGCATAAAATAACTAAAGTTAATCCTCTCTGTCCTGATGTGTAGGTGCATTTATATCTGGTCTTTAACTTATGTTAAAATACTTAATACAGCACTACCCAGGAGGCAAAATGACAAGCATCCATCATTTTTGAGCATTCAAAGATGTTTTTATCTGAGATCACATTTTATGGAATGTCTTTTCCAATGACACACAGTGTGTCACAAATCCTTCTGGAATTGCAATATAATATTACCTACAGCCATTCTGACAATGTTATGTTAACTTAGTGATGCTGTTGGTTTGTGAGCTACCTAAAGACCTCACCCACATTGTGCTAATTATTACCATCACTTCATTCTCCATTTTCTTTTCATGGTGAGTGTGAAGTTGGGCAAAGAGCTGTTGTACGTTATGGTTTCCAGGTGAGGTCTGGGACCCTTTCTCCTCCTGGTCTTAAAGGAGGAATGCCAACTCTTTTTCTGGGCAGAGCTCTTGTGCCTTTAACAGCAGGGAGAGTCTGTGAAGTTGACTGCAGCAACAAAGCAATTAATTAATGGCTTGTAAGTATGAAGGGAGCAAGGGAAATAACAGAGTTTTAGTAGTGAGTGGAAAGATATTGTCTGGATGCCAGGTCTACCAGAGAATGAACATCAGGTCCACACCCTTCTTCTTTAGTGATCACTCGTAGCCGATTGTCTTCCATGAGCACGGTCATAATGATGTGTCTGTAGGTGACTGTGGAGGCCAATTCTGGATCCACAATGAGGATATACCGGTATGTTTCTGGGTGGGAGTTGAACACGGTGAGGGTTTGCCAAACGTGCCTTCCTCTTAGTTCGTTTCTCCCTTTCGTCCTGAGTTTGAGTGTCTTCAAAGCCTATGACTCCTTTCGTAAAGGCTGTTCTCCAATTGAAGCACTCGCAGGAAGATTTTGTAGTTTTCATTATCTGGAAACCTAGAGTAGACCCATTCAATCGGAGACATATCAATGGACTGTTATTACAACAGGAAGCCCAGTACATCCATTTACTTAAGACCATGACCCCTATGGGTCTGAATAGCTATCAGGATTATACATCATTTCTTTAAGACCTCAAATTAAACTGCAGCTGTCCTCTGAACTTTAGAACTCTATGCCTTTAAGAAGATCTAGGGGATCTTATCTACCCCTTTAAGTGCATATAAAAGGTGATAGGCTCACTTCCAAATTGAAAACGCACAGAAAAGCTCAAGATACACGTTCATCTACCCACACATAGGTGAGGAATCATATGATTATTTGCTGCCTTAGAGTTTTTAATTTGATTCAACACATGTAATTATTATTAATATTGATTATTTTCAGTTGTTATCCCTGAGAAACGTAGAAAATAACAGGATATCCGAAAGTCTTTAAACTTACATGACCCTTTAAAAATTAGGTAAGGAACCAAATGTTATATAATACTGTTTTATAATTTATGACTGTTTTATAATTTATGATAATTTAGAATTTAAATGCATTTTCATGTAATATTTGATACTTCCAGCTGATGAAGGTGAATACATCGAAACAGGGCCCTGTCCTGGTTTCTAATCCATAATTGACTTCTGACTTCTGCTCTATGATTGAAACTAAGACCTTCACAAGACCTCCATGTCGAATCTGACTATGGACTAACATAAACTTATCTCTACTCATAAACGCTTATCTCTAATTCTGTAACGAATTATTGTGTTATACATATCTTTATGTGTTTGAGTTTGTTATCTCTATTTGAATTTGTAATCCTTGTCAGAATACATACTTTTGAATGGATTAGTTTTTGTTACTGTTGACTATTGATTTGTAAGTAGGGACCACTCCCACTGTTGAAACTCACATTGGCCTGAGTTCTTGGTGTGCTTTGTTCTTGGTACAACCAAGGGAATTGGCCATGGGCTGTATCCGGCCTATGGGCCTTAGGTTGCCAATCTCTGCGTAAGACCATCGGAAAACACATATTTCCGATGGTCTTAGGAACTGAGACACCGCTCCTCTATCCGTCTCCAGCCGGGTCCGCCCACATGCAGATATGCCCACATATGAGTATCCGGTGTGATGACATCATTGTGCCAACCCCATCACATACACCCCTTACAAATACAGGTGTATGTGACAGGGTTGGCGCCATAATGTACATATCCGGACCAGTCACACATGTAGAGAGCAGCTACTGTGTTGAAAGCAGCAGTATTGGAGGTAAAATGACACTTCATGAATTATAATTACTGGGTAAATGTAAAATCGTTACGCATACTGTCGCAAAATGTAGCAATGTAGTTTACTGTTGTTATATTAAGACTGTTACCCATGCTACACCATGCTTCAAGACAAAATTTCATTTATTTGTAATTAGAAATAAATATTTCACAATATATAATTACATATTGTTTTGTGATTAATCACTATGCTTTAATTATGTTCAATTTGTAACAATGAAAATACATCCTGCATATCAGATATTTACATTACGATTCATAACAGTAGCAAAATTACAGTTATGAAGTAGCAACGAAAATAATTTTATGGTTGGGGATCACCACAACATGAGGAACTGTATTAAAGGGTTGCGGCATTAGGAAGGTTGAGAACCACTGCCTTACCAGCTACTGCTGAGCATATATCTTCAAATATTTACAAAACAGGCACCCAAAAATGTCCGCAGGCTCTTCTTCATCACCTGACCCACAGAGAGGGTGAATCACTTCTACTTAACAGAATTAGGTAACCTACAATTAAGTCATTGGAATCTAAAGAAGTGGAACAAAAGGCTGTAAATGTCATTTCATTTTTTAAAAAAGAATTAGCAGCTTAAAGAACCCCAACATCATCACAAACAGTCCTGCTGGCTCTTGGCTCCCTTTCAGAAAGCATTATTGTGTTTTACGGAACACCCATCAGAAACTGAGAGGGTGTTGCATCATTATGGAATGAGAACATTCAGTTGGGAGGGTGCAGAGAAAATCACATGTTCCTGGTGCACTCCGAACTGATTAGGGATCAGGTTAAAGTGACATGAGAAGGGAAGAAAAAGGCCAGGCGGAGGGCAGCATGACTCACATGCAAGGTTGCTGGCTTTAACTGCATGGCCTTGCCCAGGAATGCCCAGGAACACTTTCTAAGCTCTGTAAACATGAATACGTTCGTGTAAACATGAACATTGCAACCTGCTCAGTTCCCTTTGCTTACTTTAACTTCCTGTGCAATAAGACAGGTGCCTGCATATTGTTTTGATTGGGCCCTGTCCTTAACCAGAGTTTCATCTTGAATTTTGATGCCTGCCTACCACAGAATGCTCTGCGGACCCCCTGATTGGTTGCTGTCTGCAGGCATTTTAGGTTTGACCCCATCAATTTAGGCTTGAGCCCATCAATCAACAGGAAGCACCATCAATTATCCCTATTTGCCCTGTTCATCATGGCTCCCTGTGACCCAGATCTCCATATGGTGCCTCCTTGATAACGTACCTGCATTTCAAAAACAACGAAAGCGTCCTGTAGCACTTTAAAAGGCTGACAAATTCAGTATGCTAGAGACCTGTGGTCTACAGGCCACTTCATCCAATGCATCTGGCTCAGTCATCTCAAAACCATTTGTTCCTTTCGTTTTTGATTACAGTTGCCTCTGAATGGCCGCTATTCTGTGGAAGGTATATTTTGCCAGGCCAGAACTTTAGATTTGCACAAGTAAAGTGAATTTGTGCAGTCTGTTGCCCTAGTTTCTATTAATTCTATTAATTTACCCACCCTAGAAATCAAGGTTTGGTGGTTTACAATTTCTTGGATCTTTCTGACAATTTTCCCCTTAATAATTGCTAACCTCTTCACTCTTCTCCAGCTCTTGTGGACTTCACCTGTGTTGCCTGAGATCTCAAAAGTGCCTCTTAAACTATCTCCATTCACCATGCCACCACAAATTGAATCATAGATATTGTTTCCCTGTATATTTGATGGGTACTTCCCCTGTTGGAAATGCCTTACTGTTTTGTTATTAGTGTCAAATGTACGGAACAGCTGGTTGTAATTTTGAAACGATCTGGAGGAAAGAAGGCGCCGAGCACTTCCATGCTCTTCCCTCCACCCCAATCAGCTTTTAACCTGCCTTTCATGTTGCCTAATGGGCCTGCACATTCCTTTAATTTCTTGTTGCTCGCAGCATATTTATAGGAGAATACAAGGTCTGGCCGGAAGAGCCGCTGTGGCTGAGGCAGTCAAGGAACCTGCCCTAAGGCAGGACATCACTGCTCCCTCCCAGCAGCTCCTTGCACACAAGGGAGGATCTGACTCACTCGCACAGCAAAAACTTCCACATTCACTTCAGTGAGATCACATGCAAATCCTCACTGGACACATGGCGCATGCCCTCAGGCATTCCTCCCATGAAAATAGGGACATTTCTCATTTCCTGACAGACTAAAAGTAAAGGTAAAGGTACCCCTGCCCGTACGGGCCAGTCTTGACAGACTCTAGGGTTGTGCGCCCATCTCACTCAAGAGGCCGGGGGCCAGCGCTGTCCGGAGACACTTCCGGGTCACGTGGCCAGCGTGACATTGCTGCTCTGGCAAGCCAGCGCAGCACACGGAAACGCCGTTTACCTTCCCGCTAGTAAGCGGTCCCTATTTATCTACTTGCACCCGGGGGTGCTTTCGAACTGCTAGGTTGGCAGGCGCTGGGACCGAACAACGGGAGCGCACCCCGCCGCGGGGATTCGAACTGCCGACCTTTCAATCGGCAAGTCCTAGGTGCTGAGGCTTTTACCCACAGCGCCACCCGCGTCCCCTCCTGACAGACTGGTCCTCCTCAAACCCCATCTGCCCCTTGCAAAGCAGTTCCCAGCAGAAGAAGGGCAAGTGCCAGCACAACTACACCAATGGGACACAGCACACACTCTCTCGAGTGCCCTGGAAAACCCCTTAATCCGGATTGGATTGGATTGTACAGTCGTACCTTGGTTGTTGAACGCCTTGCGACTTGAACGTTTTGGCTCCCGAACGCCACAAACCCAGAAGTGCGAACGGTTTCTTTAGAACCTGAACATCCGACGCAGCTTCCGATTGAGTTCAGGAAACTCCTGCAGCCAATCAGAAGCCATGCCTTGGTTTTCGAACATTTTCGAAACAGATTCCGTTGAGAACCAAGGTACAGCTGTATTGTATTCTTTGGTACATTTACAAAAAGAAAAGCACACACCAATAAATAAATCTTAGAAAGGGGCAAGATTAGATATGGACGCACAAAGCATTTGTAAAAGAAAAGAAAAAAATCAAGACTCTTGTACTCTGCTCCCCCTTTCTTCCCAGCCAGGGCAGCCCTACCCAATGCCTGCCCCTCAGAGCCAGTGCGTCACATGGGGAAGGGCCTCAGTGGCAGCGACTTCTCCTTCTTCTTGTCTGCTCTCCTGCAGCCGCTATGAGCTGCCCAAGGGAGGAGGCTGGCAGCAGCGGCCATGGAGAGGCAACGGAATGCTCCCTCACTCAGAACAAGTGCCGGCTCCTCCTTCTCCCTGAGCTCGGCAGCAGCAGCACTGGTGAGGAAAATAGGGAGATTCTGGGATCAAATCAGAAGCCAGGGGGGCTTTCATAATTCTGGGGCTATCCTTGGAAAATCAGGACACGTGGAGGGTCTCCTCCTCCTCCTCCTTCTTTGGCAATCACTCGCAGCCGAGTAAGATTGTCTTCCAGAAGCACGGTTTTAACACTGAGTCCGTAAGTGACTGTGGAGGCCAATTCTGGATCCACACATCCTTCCACAGTGTGGACATTGGTTTCTGGGCGGGAGTTGATCACGGTGTGGATTTGCCAAGCTTGCCTTCCTCTTAGCACGTTTCTCCCTTGCGTCCTGAGTTCAAGTGTCTTCAAAGCCCATTACACCTTTGGTAAAGGTTGTTCTCCAATTGGAGCGCTCACAGACAAGTGTTTCCTAATTGTTGGTGTTTATACATTATTTTAAGAGGGACGCGGGTGGCGCTGTGGGTAAAAGCCTCAGCGCCTAGGGCTTGCCGATCGAAAGGTCGGCGGTTCGAATCCCCACGGTGGGGTGCGCTCCCGTTGTTCGGTCCCAGCGCCTGCCAACCTAACAGTTCGAAAGCACCCCCGGGTGCAAGTAGATAAATAGAGACCGCTTACTAGTGGGAAGGTAAACGGCGTTTCCATGTGCGGCTCTGGCTCGCCAGAGCAGCAATGTCACGCTGGCCACGTGACCCGGAAGTGTCTCCGGACAGCGCTGGCCCCCGGCCTCTTGAGTGAGATGGGCGCACAACCCTAGAGTCTGTCAAGACTGGCCCGTACGGGCAGGGGTACCTTTACCTTTACCTTATACATAAAATAATTTGCCTTGTGACAGTCTTTAAACCTCTTTTGTTGACCACCAGTATTACACTTTCCATTTTTAAGTTCGGAGTAGAGGAGTTGCTTTGGAAGACAATAATCAGGCATCCGCACAACATGACCAGTCCAATGAAGTTGATGTTGAAGTATGATTGCTTCAACACTAGTGATCTTTGCTTCTTCCAGTACACTGATATTAGTTTGCCTGTCATCCCAAGTGACGTGTAA